GAGAAGCCGCGCAAGGAGAAGCAAGCGTCGAAGAAGACGCCGTCGACGAAGGACGGCGACAGCTCCAACGGCAAGAGCCGAGGCGACGGGGAGGCGTTGTGCTCGATGGTCGGCGTGGTGGAGACGATGGTCTCACTGGCGCCGGAGGCCGGCGAGGACTTCCAGGCGGTGGCAGCAGCTGTGCAAGCCAACCCGATGGCGGTGCTGCTCGACAGCGGGTGCTCCCACCACCTGATGGGGACGAAGTCGGTCTTCGTCGACATGGGGCCGAGCGACGGAGTGAAACACGTGCGTGGGTTCAACAGAGCATTACAGTCTGTCGAGGGTCGTGGAACTGTCGCTCTGCAAGGGGAGGCCGAGAAGCGGGTGCTCATCCCCAACGTGCTCTATGTTCCGGGTGTTCAGGCGAACCTGGTGTCAGCCGGCCAATTTAAGGAGAGCGGAGTGCAGCTGCAAGGTGACGGCGACGAGATGCTGCTCGTTGCTACGACCGGAGAGGTGCTCGGTCGAGCACGCTACACGGGACGAGTCCTCTGCACCGACCTTCGCCCCTGCTCGACGCAGTCGCCGTCGACCGAGGTGGTGGCTCTGCGGACAATCGTCTCGGCGTCAAAGGCGACCCCTGATCGGCTGCATGCGAGGCTCGCGCACGTCGGCGTCGACACGATCAAGAGCTCGGCAAAGCATGGAGTTGCTGTTGGGCTCGACATCACGCCGTCGACCGGAGCAGACCCGCCGTGTGTCTCGTGCGTCGGAGGAAAGATGGCGCGGCACACCTTCCCTGCCAAGGGCTCAGACGCAGCGGAGGCGCTGGCTGTCGTGCACATTGACTTGTGTGGGCCATTTCGAGTGGCTGCCAAGGATGGCAGCTTGTACTTCCTGCTGCTGAAGGATCGCCATACTCGATTTGTATGGGCAATGCCGGTCGCTAGGAAGAGCGACGTGCTGCAGGAGTTCCAGCGATGGCTGGTGCTGGTGGAACGGCAGACGAAGAAGTCGGTGATGTCGCTTCGCTCCGATCGAGGAGGGGAGTTCCTCGGGAAGGCGTTCACCGACTTCGTCGACGGGAAGGGCATCGTCCACGACCTGACGTGCCCCTACACTCCGCAGCAGAATGGCATGGCTGAGCGGGAGATGCGCACGGCCGTCGAGTCCGTGCGGACGATGTTGCTGCACATGGGCGTGCAGCACCACTGGTGGCACCTTGCACTACAACAAGCTGTCTGGGTGCGCAACTGCTTGGAGCGGTCGACGACACCGCCGGGGACGACTCCGTACCAGCTGCTGACCGGGCAGAAGCCCGACCTTACGCTGGCGCGGGTATGGGGCTGCATGGTGCAATTCATGGTTCCCGAGCAACAACGTGGTGGGAAGCTGGCGCCGAGGGCTCGCTGGGGACTTCATCTGGGTGTGTCGCCAGAGAGCAAGGGCTGGGAGGTGCTGGATCTGACCGACAACAAGGTAGTCACGTCGGTCGAGGTGATCTTCTATGAGACGCTGTCGCTGGAGGTGTGGAAGGTGAAGTATGGGCCGGCGTCGGAGCGGACGCAGGCGCACCCGCCAACGGATACATCGACAGCGACGGTTCCGTTGCTCGCCGAACTCGACGAGCCTGGTGATGAGGATGTTGTGGAGGTTCTTTCCCCTCCCCCTGCCTTTGCTCCTCCGTTCCCCGTCGCAGATCGGCCTGGGTCGGAACCTGTGTCGACCACCGATGATGAGGGGAGCCTTGAGGCGTCGCCTGTGGCGCCGGCCCATGGCATCGCCGGCGGTCGACAGGGCGCCAAGCTCGTCGACCAAGATGGCAAGCCGTCAACGACAGGGGAGCACCAGACAGGGGAGCCGGTCGAACAGGAGGCAACGGCAGGGGTACACTCGACAGGGGAGCAGCAGCCGGAGCGGTTGACAGGAGAGTTGTCGAAGGCAGCAGCAGAGGAACAGCCGGTCAAAGGGTCGAAGCAGCTGGTCGACGACGTTCTCGTCGACGAGACAGGGGAGCAGTTGGCGGGTGAGGAGTCCACCGACAGCGATGTTATGGAAGTGCCGATCACGAAGCCCGAGCTGCGACGCACAGGTCGAGCTCAACGGCCGCCGGAGCGGTTGAGCTTCCACGCCTGCCTACCGCCAGCTTCCTTCACCCCGGTGCACGACGAGGTCCATGACAACCTGCTGTAAGACGATGCCGAGGAGGATGAAGACCTGCTAGAGCTCGACCGTGACGTGCATGCCGACCCCGAACACCGCTGGGACATCGCCACGATGACGGTGAAGGAGGCGCTGTCGGGCTGGAAGGGCGAGGCGGTGAAGGCCGCCATGGAAGAAGAAATCCGTAGCCTCATTGCTATGGGGACTTGGGAGCTGGTCAAACGCCCACGCGGGGTGAACATCATGAAGAACCGATGGGTGCTGAAGACCAAGTACCGCATCAACGACACCGTCGAGCGCGAGAAGGCAAGGCTAGTCGTGAAGGGCTTCACGCAAGTGTACGGCGCCGACTACGACGAGACGTACTCCCCGGTGAGCAGCTACGTCACGCTGAGGATCTTCCTCAGCATCGTCGCCATCCTCGATCTCAACCTGATGCAGCTCGACATGAAGAACGCTTTCCTGCAGAGCAAGCTCGACAGGGTGCTCAACATGTACCAGCCGGACTATTTCAACGACAGGATCGGCCGGGTGTGTAAGCTGCTGAAGAGCCTCTACGGGCTGAAGCAGTCGCCGCTGCTGTGGTACAGGGCTCTCGACGGTGTGCTGCTGGGCGCTGGCTGGAAGAAGAGCCAGGTCGACGAGGCACTCTACTTCAAGGTCAGCGATGACGGAGTGACCTGCTGGGTGCTGGTCTACGTCGACAACCTGCTTGCCGCTAGCAGCAGCACCGCGATGCTGAAGGAGCTGAAGGAGCTGCTAGAGGCCGCCTTCAAGCTACGTGAGATCTCGCCGGTGGTGAAGTACCTTGGGCTGGAGATCGTGCGTGACAGGCCGGCCAGGAAGTTGTGGCTGCACCAGCAGGGCTACGCGATAAGCTGCACAGGCGCTTCATCGACGAGGAGCAGGGCGGTTGAGTCCCGAATACACCGGTCTCGGTCGACGCCTACGCTCAGCTGACGTTCGATGACGAGGAGGCTCAGGAGCGCGAAGAGGAGGAGTACCGGCAGAAGGTCGGCTCGCTGCAGTTCGCGGCGACGACGACAAGGCCGGACATCGCATTTGCCTGCAGCAAGCTAGGAAGTGGCCTCACGGTGAGGAGCGACCAGCATTGGCGCAAGGTCGACCGCTGCCCCGCCTACCTCGCTGACACTCGCGATACCGCCTTGGAGTTCGGCGGTGGACCGGAATCATTGGAGCTGATCGGCTATGTCGATGCCGACGACGCGGGCGACAAGCAGAACTGGACGAGCACGGGAGGCTACGTGTTCGTCTACGGAGGAGCCGCAGTCTCCTGGTCGAGCTCGCGCATCAAGTGCGCGACATTGTCATCAACCGAGTCGGAGTACGTGGCGGCCACGGATGCCGGCAAGGAGGGGCGTCGACTTCGCTTCCTCCTTGCGGAATTCAAGCTCCTCGACGCTGGGAAGCCGACCGTCCTCCGCGTCGACAATAAGTCGGCAAACACGGTCGCTGAGGGCTTGGGGCTGACGGGCAACCTCAAGCACATGGAGCGACGCTACGCCTGGCTGCAACACATGGTGAGGCGCGGGAAATTCGTGCTGAAGTACATCCCGGCCACCGAGCAGCCGGCGGACATCCTGACGAAGGCACTGCATTTTCCGGCTTTCAACCGGTGCTCTGTCACCATCGGCCAAGTTCGTCTATCCGACGTCGGCGACGGCGACGATGAGGTGCAGCAGTAGGTGCCGTGCCTTTCTGCACGGCTGGTGCGGTGGCGGCGTGCTGTGTGTGGGGTGCACGCCGATGATGAGTTTTCTCCGTGGAATACTACCGTGTGGGCTGGAGGCCCAAGCGTGAGCGCGGCAGGGGAGTGTTAACAGAAATGGAGTGTTGGCCCCGCCCTCGCTTGGGCAACGCCGACGACTTGGTCGGATGCACGGGAGTAGCAACCGATCGTTCACAGCGGGAGAGCTGCTCGACAGGCTTCGTCGAGCTGCAGGGGACCGTTGTGGTGTTACTGTCGACTAGGGAGCTCGACAGCTGCAAATGGCTGGTCTGGGACGTCGACGGGTGGGACGTCGACCAGGACGTGCAGTTCGACCGGGAGGTCGTCAGAGCAGTCCGTCGACCTGACAAGTGAGCAGCGGTCGACGAGGGGAGCTCGGCGACAACCGCTGATGGCTCTGGTCGTCGGAAGGGGTCCGTCGACCAGGGGGAGGGTAGCTCGACGGGAGTTGTGGTCGACCAGAGGGACCTGGTGGTCGACCGGAAGCACCCGGTGGTCGACCGGGTCGACTGGGTAACCTGCTCGACGAGTTCTGCGGAGGCACGCGAACGCCGTCGAGGTTGCAATGGCGCAGGCGACTGCGGGCTGGTATCCCGGAGTTGATATGGCTCGTCAGGCGCACACAACAGCCGACGAATGCCCAACGAGGCAAGTCGGGCCAATCGTCTGCGCACACCTGCGAGCGTGCACACTGCTGTGTTCTACGGGGCAACGTTGGACAGCCGCTCTGTTGCAGCATTGGCACGCCGTCGACCTGCTCCGTTGGCAGGTCGCCTTTCTGCAGTGCTGGCACGGCTCCTCTACGCAACGCTGGCAGGCGGTCGACCGAGCTGTGCTGGCGGTCAACCAGGCTAGCAGCAGGGTTGCTAGGTGCCTGATGTGGTCATTGTTGTAATCTCTTGTTGTTCTGATTCTGAAACTCCAACTTTGCTAGTGGAAACTCTTGCCAATTTCTCCCGTGAATGTGCAAGCACTAAGGAACCAAGCAAAGCTATGATCACCTCTAGTAGTTCGTGCCAACCCCCGTAGTCTAACTCACTACCGTTGTAGAGTTTATCTTCGCAGGGTCCCTCTGCGGGGTTGTGGGAGTGCATGCGGGGTCCCTCTACGGGGTTGTGGGAGTGCATGCGGGGTCCCTCTGCGGGGTTGTGGGAGTGCATGCGGGGTCCCTCTGCGGGGTTGTGGGAGTGCATGCGGGGTCCCTCTGCGGGGTTGTGGGAGTGCATGCGGGGTCCCTCTGCGGGGTTGTGGGAGTGCATGCGGGGTCCCTCTGCGGGGTTGTGGGAGTGCATGCGTGGTCCCTCTGCGGGGTTGTGGGAGTGCATGCGTGGTCCCTCTGCGGGGTTGTGGGAGTGCATGCGGGGTCCCTCTGCGGGGTTGTGGGAGTGCATGCGGGGTCCCCCAGCGGGGTTGTGGGAGTGCATGCGGGGTCCCTCTGCGGGGTTGTGGGAGTGCATGTGGGGTCCCTCTGCGGGGTTGTGGGAGTGCATGCGTGGTCCCTCTGCGGGGTTGTGGGAGTGCATGCGTGGTCCCTCTGCGGGGTTGTGGGAGTGCATGCGGGGTCCCTCTGCGGGGTTGTGGGAGTGCATGCGGGGTCCCTCTGCGGGGTTGTGGGAGTGCATGCGGGGTCCCTCTGCGGGGTTGTGGGAGTGCATGCGGGGTCCCTCTGCGGGGTTGTGGGAGTGCATGCGGGGTCCCTCTGCGGGGTTGTGGGAGTGCATGCGGGGTCCCTCTGCGGGGTTGTGGGAGTGCATGCGGGGTCCCTCTGCGGGGTTGTGGGAGTGCATGCGGGGTCCCTCTGCGGGGTTGTGGGAGTGCATGCGGGGTCCCTCTGCGGGGTTGTGGGAGTGCATGCGGGGTCCCTCTGCGGGGTTGTGGGAGTTCCATGCAAAGGGGCATGATGTGATGGGATGATGGGCACGGCTTAATGAACGGGATGGCGTGTGATGTTGGGTATAGAAGAATCGTGCAGAAAGGTTGGAGGAACGAAGGATGCGAACGGAAAGGAATATGGATGGGGAAAATTGTCTGGAAGAAAGGGGAAGGGGGATACTTCTGTGGGGAAGTGGGGAGAGCGGAAAAGTGGAGCGCAGTAGTGCTTATGCGGCTTTTGTTCTGATGTCTTAATCCAGAGGGGGGTCAGCTCCTTGAACCGCGTCACCCTCTTCCATAGGAGAATGGGAGTAAGAGAGAATGGGAGAATGGGATAATGGGAGAATGGGAGTAAGAGAGAATGGGAGAATAGGAGAATGGGAGAATAGGAGAATGGGAGAATAGGAGAATGGGGGGCATGGGAGCACAGGAGAACGGGAATGTGGGCATGGGCGAATGGGAGCGTGTGGGCATGGAAGCATAAGCGAGTGAATGGGAACACAAGGAAATAAGAGCATGGGACAATGAGATCATGAGGGCATGAGAGCAAAGGAGAAAGGGAGCTGGGGAAGTAAGGAGGATAGACATATTAGCATAGGAGCATGAAAGAATCCAGAACTCCCTTGTATTATACGCGATGTACAGTCAAAACTTTCATTCCTTATACGCGATATACAGTCAATGCACATTCACACACTTCTCCCACACTCCTTGGCTCGCGACTCTCCTCAGCGTCTCCCTAAAAATTACCGCCAACTCGACTCTCACCTTGTCTACTTCCCTCCATCATCACTCCCTGCTAGTCTACCAACCCTTCCGCTTGCAGCCGGAGCAAATGCAGCTTGGACAAATTACTCAGCTGCTCCACAGATGGAGAACCTACGCAGATGGAGAACCTACGCAGATGGAGAACCTACGCAGATGGAGAACCTACGCAGATGGAGAACCTACGCAGATGGAGAACCTACGCAGATGGAGAACCTACGCAGATGGAGAACCTACGCAGATGGAGAACCTACGCAGATGGAGAACCTACGCAGATGGAGAACCTACGCAGATGGAGAACCTACGCAGATGGAGAACCTACGCAGATGGAGAACCTACGCAGATGGAGAACCTACGCAGATGGAGAACCTACGCAGATGGAGAACCTACGCAGATGGAGAACCTACGATGTAACCTACGATGGTTGTCTCGTTCAGCACAAGTTCCACACGCCCTGTCAGGTCTGGCTCTCCACATGCACAATTACACGTATCTCCTTCCCTCCCCTCCACATCACTCCCCACCACCCTACATGCACATACTATGGTCAGCCCACAATGGCTTCTTGTGGGATGGCATAGCCCCGCTCATCACTCCCCTCATTCTCCCCACTCCCTCCCTCCCTGCATCTCTACAGCAACTCCACCCTAACCTCATCTCCTCCGTTCCATCACTCCCTGCTATCCTCTCCCATGATCCGCTTGCGTATCTCATCACTTTGAAGAACACGCCCTTCTGGAGGCCAGAACTTTTTCAGCTGGGTCAGGGCAGTCAGCTGCTGAAGCCCTTCATTCGTAACTGGCGTGTAGGCCAGCGCTAGTTCCTCGAGCCCTATCAGCCTTCCCACATGCACCATGCCTGCAGCAGTCACACCCAAGCATAGAAAAAGGTTCAGCGCTTTGAGAGAGAAGAAACATCAATTGCTGCAACCCAGTATCTGTAACTGCCGTGTAGGCCAGCCCTAGTTTCTCGAGCCATGTGAGCCTTCGAACATGCACCATGCCAGCAGCACTCACACCCTTGCATTCGCTAAGTTCCAGCACTTTGAGAGAGGATAGACTTGTCAGATGCTGCAGCCCATCATCTTTGACTGCCGTCTCGCCCAGATGAAGCTGTACCAGCCCTGTCAGCTTCCCCACATGCACCATGCCAGCAGCAGTCACACCCACACATTTGAAAAGGTTTAACAGTTTGAGAAATGAGAGACCCGTCAGTTCCCCCAGCCCAACATCTGAAACTTCCGTCTCATTCAGCTGAAGCTCTTCCAGCCCTGTCAGCCTCCCCACATGCACCATGCCAGCATTTGTCACAACCTTGCATTTGGAAATGCTTAACATTTTGAGAGAGGTGAGACCTGTCAAGTGCTGCAGCCCGTCATCTGTGACTGTTGTTTCAACCAACCAAAGAACCCTCAGCCGTGCCAGCCTCCCCACGGCCACCATGCCAGCAGCAGTCACGCCCTTGCATCTATAAATGTCGAGCTCTTTGAGAGAGGAGAGACCAGTCAAGTGCAGTAGCCCAGAATCAGTGACAGCCGTCTCATATAGCCAAAGTTTCTCAAGCCCTGTCAACCTTCCCACATCCACCATGCCAGCAGTTGTCACACTCTTGCATTCGGAAATGTTCAGCTCCTTGAGAGAGGAGAGACTAGCCACATGCAGCAGACCAGCATCAGTCACATTGGTCTGATCAACAGAAAGGATTTCGAGACTGGTCAAGGGCCCAATGCCTTCCAAAGCATTTTCTGAGACGTCTGTACCTCCAAGATCTAGCGCCTCAAGCTGTGGCAGCCTGTAGAGGTGCTTGATGCCCTCTGCAGTGAATCCTGAGCTAGAATCCAAGTTAATGCTTGTCAGATGGGTCATGGTGGACACATGGGCGAGGATGGCGTCTAAGAGGCCATGGAGACGCATCAGGACCAGATTGGCATCCTGTGATACTGCCTTGATTGCCTGGCGGAAAACATGCCAAAGGAATGGTAGTAAGAAAGAACAAGCCAGAAATGCATGATGTGACCTGCGAAACAGTTCCCTCAGCACTCACCTGCCATGCAGTCTTTTGATCGCCTTCACTCTGGCGAATCTTCAGGTCAACATCTTGTTTCAGACCTTGTGTCATCTGCCGGTCCTTGCAAGCTGGCAAATCCTCAGTCGGACGTGGCCAAGACAACTCCTGCACCTCCGCCCCCTCCTCTTCCCGTGCAAACTCCGATCTTATATCTCGCATTCTCTTTCTACTCTTCTCTCTCAGCCCTCTAACATCTGATGCCCCACTACTCTCAGCCTATTTCTCCTTGTGTTTTGCCAACTCCCCTTTCACCTCAGCCAACTCCGCCTTTACTGCTGCCAACTCTCTCTCCCTCTCCTTCATCACAGCAGCCATTGCCTCGTTCCTCTCCTCCGCAACAGTCAGCATGTGCCGCAGCTCATCCACCTCCTCCTTGTGTGCAGCCAGCTCCTCTCTCACTGGTGCCAGCACCACTTCATTGACCAACCCATTTAGTAAACTCATCGCTCCCCCTTTTTTCTGAATTTTCCATAAGACCCTAGGGTCTTATGTCCGGGAGAATACGGTAATAAGCCCCGGAACTCATCATGTGAGGGGGGCATCTAAACGGGGGATCTTGTCAAAAGTTATAATACGATGGCTTGCTTGCTGTAGTGAGTACCAACCCATTCTAAGTTTGGTACCGAATATGTACCACTACTCATCCTGCTCATTTCCGCTTGCACATCTAGAGGTGGTATCATCCGCTAGGTCGTTTCTGGGAACATCGGGAATTGTCAGGGTTCCACAATAAGTTAGGAAACCACTAGCTTGTGAAAACTAGAACGAGAATGAATGAACTATGAAAGAGTTGGGTACAAGTACTAACCCTAATTGGGTTGTACCCCTTGTAGGCTACCCTACTATAGCCTACACAAAATGCATAAGCTATGATGTTCTGACACACCCCCATAGGCAAAGTGGGAGAGAACAAGGGGTCACAAGACCAGTCAAGCAAAGCAAAGCAAGCTCAGGGTGGATCACAAAGTCACCACACATTCCGAGCACAAGTTCAAGGCCACAAGGCCAGTTCATATGAAGGAGTACATATATATATAAAAGGCTAGACAAGCAAGAGCAGGTGTATATATATATGTAACAGTACAAGAAAGGTCAAGAGGTGAGCAAGTGAGGCAAGGCAAGCACAAGACCCAGCTGAGTACAGAAGCGCTGATGATCACAAGGCGCAAGCGCCTTGGTGAACATATCAGCAGTGTTGGCCTCAGAGGCCACGTACGCAAGACGCAGCTGACCACGCTGCTGCAGCTCACGAGCAAGAAAGTAGCGGAGAGCAATGTGCTTCGTTCTGTGCTCCAGACGCTACTCCCGACACAAGGCCAGCATGGCCTTGTTGTCTACGTACAGAACTGGAGGAGAACGAGGCGGCTCTCCGAGGTCAGTCAGCAGGTAGGTGAGCCAGCGAAGCTCCTGAGCAGCCATGGCTCCTGCGTAGATCTCAGCCTCACAACTGGAGCCGAGAACAGAAGACGAGCGAGTAGCCCGCCACAAAACAGAGCCGGAACCAAGGCTGAAGGTGTAACCCTGTGACGACCGCTGCGTAGCCTGGTCGTCAGCCCAAGAAGCGTCTGCGTGCCCAGTGAGGACCATTGGACTCTGCCCTCCAAGCACAAGCCCCATACCCGACGTACTGCACAAGTAGCGCAACACCCTCTTCGCTGCAGCCATGTGCTCTGGTCTGTGTCTCCCAGGAGCAACATAGCGTGCGAGGAATGCTAAGAGGTTATGCAAGGTCAGGTCGTGTGCAGGTCATCAGGTACATGAGGCAGCCAACAAGCTCTGGGTACGGGCCACTCGACTCTACGGACTCATCCGAAGGCAGAGCTGAGAGCGAGTGGCGAGTAGGCAGAGGAGTGGCCTGAGGCGAGGAGTACGTGAAGCCGAAGCGCTGAAGGACCTGCTGCACCATGTGTGACTGAGTCAGGGTAATGGTGCGGCGTGCTCTGTCCCGGGTGATCTGCAAGCCAAGGTAGCTGCGCAGTTCACCCAAGTCAGTGCACGTGTGTCTCTTCTGCAGCTCCGACTTCACGTGGGTGAGTCCAGCAGTGTCAGGTGTGGCAAAGACCAAGTCGTCGACGTACACGAGGATGTAGAACGGCGGCAGAGAAGTGTCGGTGCGCAGAAACAGCGACGGGTCGGCAGTAGAGTGAGCAAACCCAAGAGCCGCAAGTGTAGTCCTCAGTGTGTCGTGCCACTCACGCGGTGCCTGGCAGAGACCGTAGACTGGCTGCCGGAGGCTCCACTGGGTGCCACGAGGAGAAGTCCCAGTGAAGCCAGGTGGGCGGCGCAGCCAGATCTCCTCGTGCAGGCTGCCCTGCAGGAAAGAAGTGCTGAAGTCAAGACAGTGTAGCTCGTAGTCACGATGAACAGCTACGTGCAGCAGTACCCGAAGAGTGGTCATCTTCGGGGTGGGAAAGAAGGTCTGAAAGTAATCAACTCCCTGCCGCTGAAGCCACAAGCCACGTAACGCGCCTTGAAGACAGGCGGAGAACCCGGCGGCCGCTTCACCCTGAAAATCCACATGCCACTGACGATGTTCGCCCCTGGAGGGGGAACGTCGTCAACGTAGGTGCCTGTGGACTTCCAGGAAGCCATCTCTGCGTCCATAGCTGCCTGCCACTGAGAGGAGTAGGGACCCTCTATCGCCTCCGCGTAAGAGCGCGGAGTCGGGATGTCAAGTGCATCCGGGTCTCCCTCAAGGGTAAGCAGTACGGACACGAGATGAGGTGAAGCAGCGGCCAAGCACTGGAACTCCTCCTGCCTGTCCTCAAGGACGTCCGTGCCAAAGGCACACTCACCCCCGACGGACGGAGGACAGACAGACTCAGACTCAGCAACAAGACTGGCGGCGTAGTCTAGGCGACAGCGAGCAGCAAAGTCGACGAGCTCAGCAACTAGGGCAGACGCAGCAGTGGACTCAAAGAGCAGGAAGAGAAGACTCAGGAGGAGAAGGTAAAGGGGCACGCAGAGGAGCAGTGGACGGACGCAGAGACATCCGGTGCGTGCCAAGGACAGGAGGAGGATGCTGACGCGAACCGCGACCACTAGTGCGAGCAGCACGGACAGGCGACGCAGGGCGAGACACAGGCTCACGACGCTCAGCAAGTCCTCCAGTAGGACCAGTGTAGGGAGACGAAGCAGACAGTGGGGAGGCCGGCTGTAACTGCAACTGTGACGGGACAGGCTGTGGACACACGAAGGGAGGAGGAGGACTAGTAGAAGGCGGGAGACCAAGAACCTGCTGAAGGAGCGGAACGAAGTACGGCCGAGGCCGCGCGGCGACTCCAGACACAGCAGGGACAGCACCTGTACCCCCAGCGGCAGCACCAGCACCAGCAGCTCCAGTAGCACCCACAGCACCTCCAGCTCCAGTACCTCCAGCAGCACCAGTAGCACCCCCAGCAGGACCGCCTCCACGAACGACAGAAGTAGCCTCCGCGCCAACACCCGCAGCAGCTCCAGCTCCAGAAGTACCCGCAGACCCAGCAGCTCCAGTACTCCCAGTACGAGCACCTCCGGAACCCGCGACACCAGCACCCTCAGCAGCAGTAGAACCTCCAGTACCCGCAGCACCTTCAGCTCCAGCAGCGCGCCTCAAGCGCCGAGCAAACCACTCACGCAGCTCCTGTGGAGAGAGTGGCTCCCGACGAGACGAAGCACCCGAAGAACCGCCAGGCACAGCACCGCCAGACGCCACACGAGCAGGCCCACCTCCCTCATGCTCAGCACCTCCACGCGTAGCACCCCCAGGCACAGCACACCGAGGCTCAGCACTCCCCTAAATAGCACCCCTAGGCTCAGCACCCCCAGACTCAGCACCCCCAGGCTCAGCACCCCCAGTCGTAGCACCCTCAGGCTCAGTACCCCCAGCCGTAGCACCCACACGCTCAGCACCCCCAGAGTCAGCACCCCCAGGCTCAGCACCCTCAGCAGCACCAGAGTCACCAGCGACCTCGACAGGCTCAACAGCGTCTACCTGGGACACACTTGAAGCGGCCGGACCCTGGGGGGGGAGGGGGTCTACCGGGGGGGGACCTGGCACAAGGAAGAGCGGTGGCGGGAGGAGGGACAGAGTGCGGTAGGGGAAGAGACGGTAGTAGGGGACCGACTCGTCGAACGTGACGTCCTGGGAGGACAGAACACGGCGAGAGGTGGGGTGGTAGAACTGCCACCCTGGCGCGTCCGAGGGGAAACCCAGGAAGACACAAGGAGCACCACGAGGGGACAGCTTGTCCGCAGACAAGTTGCGGACAAACGCCCGAGATCCCGAGACACGGAACGCAAACGCATCGCCAACCTTCCTCATCCACAGCAAAGCTGGGGAGGTCTCCGGCATGGAGACCCTGGGCTGAAGGTTGATCTGATGCGCCGCGTACCGGACCGCACACGGCCATAGAAAATGGGGGGCAGCCGCATGCATCATGGACGTACGGGCGACGTCCATGACCATGCCAATGCGGCGCTCAGCAATCCCATTTTGCTGTGGAGATTCCGGAAGCGTGAAGGTCTGGCGGATGCCTCGTGCACGATAGTAGGCTCGCAGAAGGCCAGAGGAGAACTCTCCGCCTCTGTCAGAGTGCAAACGCAGAACAGGAAAGTCCGAGCTGAAGCTCCGCCTGAGCTGGAGACGAGCTGCGCGGATCCAGCTGATCAACACCTCAGTGACATCACCCTTGCTGCGCAAGGGGAAGACTGTGGTGTAACGCGAGTAGTCGTCAACCACCAGCAGGAAGTAGCGCTCGTGACCCTGTCCACGGATGCGGGCCGGGCCCCACACGTCCATGTGAAGCGTCTGCAGCGGGGCCTCTGTCGGAGGAAACTGGGAGGAGTGAGGGGCAGCCCGCTGCCGCCCCTCGACACAGGGGACGCAGGTAGGACCAGGCCCCGGAGGAAGGGGAGGGAGGGACCGGGGAAGACCAGAGACAAGGACACAGGAGGCCATGCTTTGGAGACGAAGCAGGGAGGGGTGACCAAGGCGGTGGTGCCAGAGGAGAGTCTCGTGAGACAGGAGGCGACACGAGCAGGGGGCAGACTCAGGACCAGACCTGGACGCTGCTGCAAACACCTGACCCGACGCAACTACCTGACCAGACGCAGTGACTGGAGGAGACGCAGTGGTCAGTGTGTACAGGCTCGACCCCGGCCGACGTGTAAACGTGGCCAGGTGTCGGCCTGTCCGAGCGTCCGTGCAGTGGGTCACCCGCTGACTCGCAGGAGTGAACTGGTGAACCCCCGCATCCTGTAGGTCAGCACCACTCACCAAGTTCGTAGAGAACGAGGGGAGGTAAAGACCATACAGGGTGCCAGAGGGGGCCGCCGGACACGGGAGGACAGTGGAGAAGTGAGCAAGGACAGGACCCCTAGAGGGGTCTGCCAGAGAGACTGCAACTGGCCGACCAAGCGGCGTGAGTGTGGTGCGGTCTCGAAAGAAGAAGAGGAAGCCCCCG